CTCGCGGTGCTCGCTGCAAAAGTAGAGCAATGTTCTACTTTTGCCTTCTCGACGGAGGCGTCGCCAATCGAATCATATGCCAGTGCAAGCTCTAGCCAATCAAACGGCGTGCTTGTGTGTCTGGGGCGGGAGATTCATGTGATTGGTTGTTGGTCGAGTTTCAGCCCCCCCGCCGGCAAGCGGCAACGCACGCCGCCGTGTGTAGGCTCCGTTACGGCCCGTCCAAACAGCGGCGTGCGCTGACGCTTGGCGGTGGGCATATCGGAAGCTTGGGGATTTTTTGCGAGCAACGTGACCAACAACCAATCACATGAATCTCCCGCCCCCGACATACAAAGCAATAGCAATGTTAAAATGAAGTACACTGGATATAAAATCCCCAAACAGGCGAAAACCTACCAGTTTCACCCACTGTCTCTGCCACGTCCCTCCATGCCTGGCTCCTCCGGTTTGTATCCCGGTAGACGAACAGGGACTGATCATACAGCACCGGGTGATTCACTACCGCTATAATGAATTTTCCCTCCATTTTTTGGAATATGAGGAAATGACCTGCGTAGTCTCTCCCAGCACGCGGTTTGATTGGCTAGCGCTTATACTGGCAGATTTGAATAAACGGGATTTCATTGGCTGAAGCTTCTGCGAGGCGCCAAAAAGTTGAACATTTGCTCAACTTTTGACGCGAGCAACGCGTAGCTACGCTCCCCACAGTGCAGTTCGGCGAAGCGTGACGTCACCCCATTCAAAGTGAATGGGCAGAAGCGTTGAAGCTTCAACGCACGCCGCTGTGTGGACGGGCCTTTACAAATCGGATTTTCATCATAAGAAGTATTTAGAATCCGGAACCAAGTTAAAGATGAAATAAGTTGTCTTTTGTTATGAACTTGGTTGTTTTACATACCTCATAAAAGAAATGCACAGTATTATGTTTCTAATCATCCTGTGTGTTTTCCAGTTCCTAAACCCCTGGTGGAGCTCCACGTGAAGCTGCTCAGAAAACTGGGGAGGTCTGTGACGACTGACCGCTGGGAGAAATACCTGGCTAAGGTGTGTGTGTGTGTGTGTGTGTGTGTGTGTGTGTGTGTGTGTGTGTGTGTGTGTGTGTGTGTGTGTGTGTGTGTGTGTGTGTGTGTGTGTGTGTGTGTGTGTGGAGAGAGAGAGAGAGAGAGAGTTTAGCTTTACAACTCCACTTGACATGATTAAACAGGTTCAGCCATCAGTGAGGGAGCTGTCTCCGGAGGGTGCTTGCTGCATCTTAAAGGGATAGCTGAGATGTTTTGAAGTGGGGTTGAATGAGCTAAATATCCTCTGTCATAGATTAGCTAGAGTAACATGCGACCCGAACGACCCCAGTTTGTAGAAGCAGACAGGAATACCAGCCCAGAAGATAAGAAATGTTGTGCTTTTCACCGTTTCCCCTTGCCTTCAGATGTCCCTTTTGGACATATCTCTTTATTAGCGGTTAATCAAATGACAAGGCAAAATAAGACTAAATGTCTCTTCTAAGTAAATACATCTGGAGTTTTGCTCACTCAACAAACTACTCACTTTCACTTCAGCTCATAAACTTGCCCTTGAAAAGAAACACAAATGTAGAACCCTGTACCCTGTCTGCTTCACCAAAGAAGAGATCAACATTTACTGTATGTAAATGCACCCCCACTTCAAAACATCTAAACTATCCCTCTCAAGTTTCCTTACCTGTGACCACAGCCTACAACTAAAGTAGTTGTGTAGGAAGGATAGAGTGTTTTATTATAGGAAGATAACATATGTGTATTTTGTACAGAAACAGTATGCAAGTAAATTGAGCATCCACCTAACTGTAGAGCCTTGCTGCAGTGGTCAACAGATGGAGACTTGAGAGATGAAACAAATCCTGTGTTCCTTACTGACCACATCCTAACCGTGTGTTCCTGTAGGTGTGCCAGGAGCTGAACAGCACCTGGGCCTGGGAGCTGGAACAGAAGGGCTACCAGGAGATGTCCATGGAGTGCAAGTCATGCATCCTAAAAGTATGACATGCCCGGTTTTTAGTCAATGCAACAAGTGTAACTAAAAGTCTAAACATCTCCAGTCAATGCAATAACACATTGATGTCCTCCACCTTCTCTCCATCAGTATCTATGCGAGTGTCAGTTTGATGACAACCTGAAGTTCAAGATGGCGATCAATGAGGAGGACCCAGAGAAGATGCGCCTCCAGCCAATAGGCCGGGACCAGCAGGGCCTGATGTACTGGCTGCAGCTGGACCCTGAGCAGAACATCCGCCTGTACACAGAGGAGCAGGACGACCTGGACGGCTCCACCTGGAAGTGCATCGTCAGGTATCACTGTCTCACATGTCTCAGGCTGCACGCACAGCTATACTTACTTTTTTCTCAATTATAAAAAAAACAAAAAACTATATCTAAACATCTATTTGCAAATTCTCCCCCAACTTGTGCAGTAATACCCAGGTGTCATCCAGTCGTATGATCACTCACTTGGTTCACAAGTTACTTAAAACAAACAAACTTCCACATAAACTCTAACTCTAGGTCTCTTGATGTTCCACCATTTACTTAAATTCATCAAGTTTCTCAATTTTTTGATTCTTTTGAGAAAAAGAAAAAGTTGAGTAATTGATGTAAAATGTGTTATTTTTGGATTGACGTCTAAAGTTGGTGAAGTAATCTGCACTGTTATATGAAATATTCCTTTTAAGGCCGTCTTAAAGCCGTCTCCTAACACTGTGCAGCGTCATGTCACACCCTGCTGCCCTGTTGTTATCTGTTTTGAGCCGCTTGTCCATACTCTGTTCTCAGGAACCGCACCGACCTGGCGGAGGCTTTGGAGCTGCTAAAGGGACAGGTTGAACCCAAACAGAGTCAGGACCAGGAACAGAACCAGGACCTGGATAGGAGTGCCAGCCCCACACAGACAGGTGCAGGTGAATGGAGTTTAGATCATAGGAGTATTACCGAGAGAGAATATATAAAGTTGTTGTCCTCCTCCAATGACTGAAATCACATTTAGGCAGGGAACACTGATCTAATGCAAAGATGAAAAAAAAAGGAACTCAGAACAATTTCCCTCTTTTAAAGGCCAAAGATAAAAGAAATACCAAAAATGATAATGATCTGAAATTAATATAATGAAAGTCAAATATAATAGTAGTAGTAGTTTATATAGTGGTTTATATCAATGCAAAGAGTTGTCCCTGAAGGATTTTAGTGTGTGTGTGTGTGTGTGTGTGTGTGTGTGTGTGTGTGTGTGTGTGTGTGTGTGTGTGTGTGTGTGTGTGTGTGGGTTTGTGTGTGTGTGTGTGT